AGGACAGGTGAGGCAGGACGAGCACGGGAAGGACGGTGAGACCAGACGTGGGACAGAGGGGTCGAGTCAGGAGACAGGGGAGGGGACACAGGAGGGGAACGAGGGGGGAGACGGGCCGGGGACGAGTCCGGCGGAGGAAAAACAGAGCCGTAGACAGGAAGAGGAGGAGACGGTCGGGGAGGAACCGACGCAGGGTCGGGAGACGGAAGGCCGAGCAGGCGAAGGGCGGACACCGGCGGGGCTTGCTGCTGCGGCGGCACAACGGCGACACCTGGACCGCAAGCTGCTCCTCGGCTACCACCGGCACTCTCCACACCAGCACCCCCAGAGGGACCACCCCCAGGGCGACCGGGACGAGCACCCCCAGAGTCAGCGAACGGGGGCTGCGACGGCGGCGGCGGCGGCGGCGGAGGCGACGGCGGCGGCGGCGGCGGCGACGACGACGGCTGCAGCAGCGGCAGTGGCGGTGGAGGAGGGGACTGGGGAGGGGACACCTGGGGAGGGGCGGCCGGCGAGGACTGCACAGGAGGGCCACCAGAGTCAGAAGACTCCTCAACCGGGTCCACGGACGGAAGGGGGGTGACGTGGGACACGCCAGAGGGGGCGGGACGGGGAGGAGGAGGAGGAGGGGCAGGGACTACTGGGGAAGGGGTGACCAGGAACAGGGGGGGGGTAACCGGGGGACCACGGTGGGGGAAGCGGCGGTAGTAGGAGACGGACTCGTCAAAGGTGACGTCATGAGAGTGAAAGAAGCGGTGAGACGGCGGGTGGTAAAAGTGCCAGTCGGACGCGTCAAGGGGAAAACCGAGGAAGACGCAGGGAAGGGTGCGGGCAGTGAGCTTGTCCGTGCCAGAGGCACGGACGTGAGCAAGGCAGCCCCAGACGTGGAACGCAGACGCGTCACCAGGAGACCCAGTCCAAAGACGGGTCGGCGAAACCTGCGACTGCTAGGGGTGCGGCCACAGGTTAAGCTGGTGAGAAGCGTAGCGCACAGCGAACGGCCACAGAAAATGGGGTGCACCGGCATGGATCATGGAGGTGCGAGCCACCTCCATGACCAAACCGATGCGTCGCTCAGCGACCCCATTCTGCTGTGGGGAGTCCGGTAGGGTGAACGTCTGAGTGATGCCCTCCGCACGACAAAAGCGACCAAGGACACCTGAGGCAAACTCGCCACCACGGTCTGAGTAAAGACGCAAGACAGGGAGACCGCGGTGGACACGCGCAGAGACAAGCCAGGGGATGAGAGCGCCAGGCATGTCGGCCTTGCGCTCCAGCGGAAAGACTGTGGTGTAACGAGTGAAGTCGTCGACAAGCACAAGGAAGTAGCGCTCTCGACGCGGCCCAGGGACGGGGGCGGGGCCCCAGACGTCCAGGTGCAGGGTCTGCAGCGGCGCGGCGGTAGGGGGAAACGAGGAGGAGTGAGGGTCACGGCGAAGCCGACCCTCGACACAAGGCGTGCAAGGTGGGGCTGGAGAGGAGGGAAACGCGGGGAGCGAACCTGGGAGACCAAGGACGAGACCGTGCTGGGACATGTGACGCACACGCGGGAGCGCAGGGTGACCTAGGTGGTGGTGCCACAGGAGGGTCGGGTGAGTGAGGGAGCGACAGGAGCAGGCAGCAGCAACCTGGGTAGACGCAGCCACCTGAGGGGGTGCTCCAGCCGGGGGGATCACGGTGTCCAAAGTGAACAGGCCGGACACCGGGTCCCGGGGGAACGTGGACAGGGGGGCACCAGTGGCGGCCTCGGTACAGACAGCATACCGCTCGTGGCCAGAGAACGTAGTGGTGACGCCAAGGTCCTGGAGGCAGCCGACACCAACTAGGTTCCTAGAGAACGAGGGGATATGCAGACCTGTAAGAGAACCCGAAGGAACTGCCGGACAGGGAAGGGTGGTGGAACTGCGGGCGACTACCGGACCGCCGGAGGGGTCAGCAAGAGAAACGGCAGCAGGAACAGGAAGCGGCGTCAGGGTGGTGGAGTCGCGGAAGAAACACCGAGAGGCGCCAGAGTCCAAGGTGAAGGAAAGCGAAGCCGAGGGGTCTGGCGACGGAACGACGGCGGAAGCACCAAGACTACACAAAGCAGGGGATCCTACGCCTGACGCAGCAGGGGAGGCTAAGCTAGGCACACCTACACTAGGCAACAGTGAGTAGTAAGCGGGAAGCACACTAGATTCATCAGCATACATCACATGCAGAGCGGAAACAATGGCATCCATGTCCATATCAAAGATCTGAATCTGACGACTAAGCAAACTGTGCCAGTCCGGGAGGTCTGGCGACGGGCCGAAGCGCTGACGAAAGAGGTCGTCCAGGCGACGAAAACAGCGGGGAGTGGAGTGGCCGATCTTACCGCAAACGAAGCCGCGGCGAGGACCGGTCTGGATCTGGTACTGACAACGCCCGCCGCCAGAGCCACCACGCGGCACACCACCACGCGCCCGGCCACCGCCAGCGCCAGGCCACCCTGGCGGGAGGACACTCGTCTGCCGCGTCTGCGACGGCTGCTGCGGCTGCTGCGAAGGCTGCGACTGCGGCGGCTGCTGCGGCTGCTGCAACTGCAGGGGGGGCGACTCAGCTGGACTGGGCAGGGTCCCCTCGTCCGCTCCAGCACCAGGCGACCCGACCCCACCACTACCCCCGCCCGCACCCCCGCCGCCTCCTCCGCCGCGCCCAGCCTTGGGGCGGCGGCCCTTCCCCGAACGGACCTGCGCGGCAGCAGCAGTCTCAGCCACTGCGGCAGAGCCGTCGGAGAAGGTGCACTGAGTGGGGGCACAACCCTGAAAGATAGGGATCGGCACGACACCGCTCGCCTGGGCGATGGAGCGGTGACGGGTCTCTATCACAGTCAGGTTGTCTACAAAGTCAGTGAGGGTGAGGTCGGCGGGGTGAACGCTACGAAAGCGGTCGCGGGCGACAGCAAGGCGGTCAGGGAGGCGGGTGGCAAGCAGGTAGAGGGTAGAGGTAATGGGCGGCTGGTGGGCTCTAAGCTGGGCGTCAGTGCAGGCAGCGCGCCAGGTCTCATCTATCGAGCGCAGGTGGGCAGCGAGGTCAGAGACAGTGGGGAAAGATGCAAGGTCAGGAAAGAGCATCGGAAGGATCAGGCGACCCACCGAGGCAGCCGGAGGGGTGGAATAGCGCTTGATCACAGCATCTAAGTATGCCTGAGCAGTAGTGAGGGACCTAAAGCGAGGACGCTCGGATGGGGGGAGGGCGTTGCTAATGGCAAGCTGGGCGACAGCATCGCGAGAAAGCCAGACAGAGCGCGCACGGGCAGTGGCAGCAGTAGACTCACGCTCAGTGGGTGTGGGGTCAGCGGGCAGAATGGCAGGGGGGTCAGGGCAGGGGAGCGTACCGTCAAGGTGTGCGGAAAGCGGTTCACCATCCTGCCGCTGGCCAGTGAGTTGGCGGCGGAGGTCGGCAAGCCACGCCTCGAACTCTAGGGGCTGACCTTCAGCGTCGAAGCGAAGCTCCGCCGCCATCAGGAACAGTCCAGTGCGGTGCAGGGCAGTGCAGCTAGGTGGGGTGCGGTGCAGTGCGATACAGTGCGGTGCAGTGCGGTACAGTGCGGTACAGTGCGGTATAGTGCGGTGCAGTGCGGTGCAGGGCGGTGCAGTGCGGTGCAGTGCGGTGCAGTGCGGTGTAGTGCGGTGCCAGGCAGGGCAGTGTGGTGCGGGGCGGCACGGAGCAGGGCGGGGTGGGGGGGAACCGTACCAGTGAGGAGGACGGGGCCGGGGGTGGCCCGACGGGGCCGGGCGGGCGCGACGGGGCCGGGCTGGTGCGACAGGGTCGGGACGGGGTGACGGGGCCGAGCGGCCGCGACGGGGCCGGGCTGGGGCGACGGGGCTGGGCGAGTGCGGCAGGGCCGGGCCGGTGCGACGGGGCCGGGCGAGCGGGACGGCGGCCGGGCTGATGCGACGGGGCCGGGCGGCTGCGACGGGGCCGGGCAGGGTGCGACGGGGCCGGGCGGGCGCGACGGGGCCGGGCGGCTGCGACAGCGCCGGGCGGGCGCGACGGGGCCGGGCGGCGGCGACGGGGTCGGGCGGGCGCGACGGGGCCGGGCGGCGGCGACGGGTACGACGCGGCCCAGGAGGGGCGCTACGGGGCCCAGGAGGGGCACGACGGGGGGCCCAGGAGAGGCGCTACGAAGCCCAGGAGGGGCGCGACGAGGCCCAGGAGGGGCGCTACGGTGCCTGGGAGGGGCGCGACGGGGCCTGGGAGGGGCGCGACGGGGCCCAGGAGGGGCGCTACAGGGCCCAGGGAGGGCGCGACGGGGCCCAGGAGGGGCGCTACGGGGCCCAGGAGGGGCGCGACGGGGCCCAGTAGGGGCGCTACGGAGCCCAGGAGGGGCGCGACAGAGCCCAGGAGGGGCGCTACGGGGCCTGGGAGGAGCGCGACGGGGCCCAGGAGGGGCGCTAGGGGGCCTGGGGGGAGCGCGACGGGGCCCGGGAGGGGCGCGACGGGGCCTGGGAGGGCGGTACAGGGCCCAGGAGGGGCGCTACGAAGCCCAGGAGGGGCGCGACGAGGCCCAGGAGGGGCGCTACGGGGCCCAGGAGGGGCGCGACGGGGCGCTACAGGGCCTGGGAGGAGCGCGACGGGGCCCAGGAGGGGCGCTAGAGGGCCTGGGAGGGGTGCGACGGGGCCTGGGAGGGGCGCGACGGGGCCTGGGAGGGCGGTACAGGGCCCAGGAGGGGCGCTACGAAGCCCAGGAGGGGCGCGACGAGGCCCAGGAGGGGCGCTACGGGGCCCAGGAGGGGCGCGACGGGGCGCTACGGGGCCTGGGAGGAGCGCGACGGGGCCCAGGAGGGGCGCTAGAGGGCCTGGGAGGGGCGCGACGGGGCCTGGGAGGGGCGCCACAGGGCCAGGGGGGGGGATGAGCGGAAGCGGTAGGTGGGGGGGGATCCTACCTACGCGTGATACCATATCAGAAATTAGAATTGAATGATAGTAAAGTGAGAGTACACACAAATATATCTAAGTTTTGTATCCTCGAAGAGGTGACCCTATACAGTCTATACAAACATGACAAATACACATGTTTGACAGCTCTACCCCTAGTCCGAACTTTCAGACGAATTCAGATGGCTGGTCTGGACGAAATCAACCCGTAAAAAAATCAGATGAATGGAAGTAGACGGGTCTGATTTTCAGACCATCAGACGGATTTCGTCTGATATCTGAGACCCTGGATACAAGTACACAATGTTGTACTCCATAAGAGCTGATCTAGCTAGGAGATCTAGACACAAATGCCCTAACTAAAATATATTTGTTAGTTGACAATTACAGTATGCCCTAGGGACTTGTGGAGAAGTTGGCGTGATGTGAAGGATGAAGGGTAGAGCAGCTGCAGAAATCTGGGTACTGGGCTACGTGGCTAGTTGCTCAGTCATGTGTTTCAAAAGGAGGTCTTTCAATGCTGCGACAAGCGCCCGCACATCATAATGTACTCCAGGGCTGCCTTCACAGGCAATGGACGGAACCATGGTCTGGCGCGGAGGGCAGAAACACACACACCAGAAGCAGAGCGGGATTGGAATGAAGAGCAGCAAATCATCAGCACCAGCATATCATGAAAGGCAGTCCAGGCGCCTCCTCTTCACACACATTCACCCAAGCTGCTGCCTCGGGGCAAGCAGCGCACGGCAGTACTCACAACGGAGGTGACTCCCAAGTATGTTAGGCGTTCACGGTCCAGTGGAATGGCGCCTCCCTCGGGTGCAATGAGATGCGTCACATAGCGCATGGACTGCAGAGGAGGGAAAGGAGGCGGGCAATAACAGGGGAAGGAAGAGTGCAGCGGATGTGGGAGAGTCAGAGTTAAAAAAGCATGCATGAAGGGAGAGAGGTGGCAGGTGCAGCAAGGTTCAAGGGTGCATCTGACGGAGTGCTTGAGGCGGTGCATCTGACCGAGTGCTTGAGGCGGTGCATCTGACGGAGTGCTTGAGGCGGTGCATCTGACCGAGTGCTTGAGGCGGTGCATCTGACCGAGTGCTTGAGGCGGTGCATCTGACCGAGTGCTTGAGGCGGTGCATCTGACGAAGTGCTTGAGGCGGTGCATCTGACCAAGTGCTTGAGGCGGTGCATCTGACCGAGTGCTTGAGGCGGTGCATCTGACCGAGTGCTTGAGGCGGTGCATCTGACCGAGTGCTTGAGGCGGTGCATCTGACCGAGTGCTGGAGGCGGTGCATCTGACCGAGTGCTTGAGGCGGTGCATCTGACGGAGTGCTTGAGGCGGTGCATCTGACCGAGTGCTTGAGGTGGTGCATCTGACCAAGTGCTTGAGGCGGTGCATCTGACCGAGTGCTTGAGGCGGTGCATCTGACCGAGTGCTTGAGGCGGTGCATCTGACCGAGTGCTTGAGGTGGTGCATCTGACCGAGTGCTTGAGGCGGTGCATCTGACCGAGTGCTTGAGGCGGTGCATCTGACGGAGTGCTTGAGGCGGTGCATCTGACCGAGTGCTTGAGGCGGTGCATCTGACCGAGTGCTTGAGGCGGTGCATCTGACCGAGTGCTTGAGGCGGTGCATCTGACCGAGTGCTTGAGGCGGTGCATCTGACCGAGTGCTTGAGGTGGTGCATCTGACCGAGTGCTTGAGGCGGTGCATCTGACCGAGTGCTTGAGGCAGTGCATCTGACCGAGTGCTTGAGGCGGTGGCGGGAGTCGTCTCCGAAGGTGCGGTTGAGGCAGTTGGAGATGGCCACCACAAAGTCCGACGCCGCCATGCCCGCTGTCTCGCGGTCCAGCGACCCGTTGAGCACCAGCACCTGCCAGCCACGCAGGGACAGAACACGCAGCACACACGCGCTGTGAGATGTGATGGAATTGCGTGCTGCTTGCGTGTGCTCTCACAAGGAAGAAAGGGCCAAGGGAAGCGTTGGTGTGGGAAGAACGGGAGGAGTAGAACGGGCGTGATACCTCTACCAGAGCATTGCTGCATGTGGCATTCTGATGCACATGCACATACCCTGGGACATGCACATACCTTGGGGCATGCACATACCTCGGGACATGCACATACCTTGGGACATGCACATACCTTGGGGCATGCACATACATTGGGACATGCACATACCTTGGGACATGCACATACCTTGGGACATGCACATACCTTGGGACATGCACATACCTTGGGGCATGCACATACCTTGGGGCATGCACATACCTCGGGACATGCACATACGTTGGGACATGCACATACCTTGGGGCATGCACATACATTGGGACATGCACATACCTTGGGACATGCACATACCTTGGGACATGCACATACATTGGGACATGCACATACCTTGGGACATGCACATACCTTGGGGCATGCACATACCTTGGGGCATGCACATACCTTGGGACATGCACATACCTTGGGACATGCACATAGCTTGGGACATGCACATACATTGGGACATGCACATACCTTGGGACATGCACATACCTTGGGACATGCACATACCTTGGGGCATGCACATACCTTGGGGCATGCACATACCTTGGGGCATGCACATACCTTGGGACATGCACATACCTTGGGGCATGCACATATCTTGGGACATGCACATACCTTGGGACATGCACATACCTTGGGACATGCCCGGGCTGAGATTGCTTCCCCCACTCCACGCAATATCTATGGTTCGGGGAGGAGAACGAGAAGGGGAGACATGAAACAAGAGATTTCGCACAACGCAGTGATGGTGAGAGACCTTGGGGGGAGCGAGGAGTGAGAGGCATGCTCCCTAACGAGGAGTGAGATTAACAAGGTAAGACAAAAGGGGCGTAGGTACCAGCGAGGGGCAAATGGAGGTACCAGCGAGGGGCAGATGGAGGTGAAGAGAGAGCCGATGCCGTAGATGATGGCGTCCACCGCCTCCACCTGGTCCAGCACGCGCCGGTTCACACAGGGAAACACCTGCCACGCCACGCCCCCCACATGGACCAGAGCGTCATGAATGCGCGTCACGAATGCGCGCCATGAATGCGCGTCATGAATGCGCGCCGTGAATGCGCGTCATGAATGCGCGCCGTGAATGCGCGTCATGAATGCGCGTCATGAATGCGCGTCATGAATGCGCGTCATGAATGCGCGCCATGAATGCGCGTCTTGAATGCGCGTCATGAATGCGCGCCATGAATGCGTGTGCCCCACACCTGCCCCTGCTGACAGAAGGTGGTGGCTAAGGCATGTCGGTTCTACACATGCCACGTTGAAAATATAGCATGAACCATGCTTGCCAGCCTCCCACACCATGTGCAAGAGGTGGCACACAGTGGGCCCATGGCTGCGTGGCACACACCTCGTGCAGCAGGTTGGTGCCTTCACTGGACATGTAGAACACACGGCGGATGGGCGCAGGCAGCGCACGAGAGGCATCACAAGTCTGTGGGCGCAAGGCAGGGAAGGGGAGAGAGGGAAGGGGATATGCGAGAAAGACAGGCGCCAGGCGCACAAGTCAGTGGAGAAAGTGGGTGTCAGAGCAGTTGCGGAAACATGCAGCGGAGGCATGGGTGGCGCAGGGAGCAGTGTGACCTTGTCGACGGAGAGGGGCAGGTGGCGCGGGCTGTCGCTGACAGCGGGGTGCGAGATGTCATTCTGCCCGCGGATGATGCTTCCGTCCTGCCGCCCGCCCACGCCGCGCCCAACACATGTAGCGGGGGAGGGCGGGTGGGCCACCATGGAGGGGCGGCGGCACAGGGGTGGATAAATGGGATGTGAGCCATGCTGAGACAGTTCAACCGCAGGGTGGAGGGAGGAATGGGTGTCACGGGGACTGTCATGTGATGCTGGTAGGTGGAGAGAGCGAGACACGGTGAATTGATAGGCATTACATAACAAGATACAGAGGGAGTGGTATGTGCAATGGACAGGAGAGGTGTGGCAAGGGGTGTTGGCAAGGGTGTTGGAAAGGGGTGTTGGAAACGGGTGTTGGCAAGGAGTGTTATTAGCAAGGGGTGTTGGCAATGGGTGTTATTAGCAAGGGGTGTTGGCAAGGGGTGTTGGCAAGGGGTGCAGCAAGGGGTGCGGCAAGGGGTGTTGCGCACAAATAGCTCGGCGCCGAGCGTGAAGCGGTCGTTGGTGCAGACGCACGGCAGCACGAGGCTGCGCTGGGGGATGTTGGAGACGCGTGAGAAGAGGAAGATGGCCGCGTCCAGCGAGCGGAAGAAGGAGCGCGCCCCTGAGAAGAAGAAGTTGCCCACGCTGCCGCATGCACGAGCAGTCGCACACAACACGTGGCAGGGAGAGGGCCATGCGCATGAGGCCAAAAACGGAACTGGGGAGCATTATCAGACTGCGATCATTGGGAGCATTACCAGACTGCGGTCGTTGGGAGGCGTGTGGCGTGCCATGCCAGAGATGGCACATTCCTAAGGGACAATTGAGAAAGCCGCAGAGAGAAATCACACCTTCCGTGCTGGAAGCAGAAGCGATGGCCGGCATTGCGGAGGATCTGGCACACGGGAATGCGAGCGGAGGGGGGATAAATACGGAAGAGGGAGGAAGGGCCTGTTGGGCTGCTCGAAAAACGGGAGTGGCAGCAGGGTGCATGGGAACCTGGTGTGTGGAGGTGAGATTGGTGGCGCTTGGCACCTGGAAGTGTGGAAGTGCACCTGGTAGTGGAAGTGCACGAGGAAGGCTCGGATGATCTCCTTGTACGGCTCCGACACCCCTCGCCACAATGCATGCTCGCCCTCCACTATGCTCAGCCTGTGCGCCCACACCATATGCACATGCCCACCACACGCACATGCACATGCACATGCACATGCACATGCACACCACGCGCACATGCACACCACACGCGCATGCACACCACACGCGCATGCACATGCACACCACACGCACATACACATGCACACCACACACACATGCACACCACACGCACATGCACACCACACGCACATGCACACCACACGCACATGCACATGCACACCACACGCACATGCACATGCGCATGCACACCACACGCACATGCACACCGCACGCACATGCACACCGCACACACATGCACACCACTGCCCACACCATCAGCTTTGGGGGCGGGCAAGTGAGGACGGTGGAGCTGATGGGTGGCGATGGGTGTGAGAGCGCCCAGGGTGTGGCAGGCAGGTCACAATTCCGCCTTGGCAGGCTACCATTCCGCCTTGGCAGGTTACCATTCCGCCATGGCTGGCCACCATTCCGCCTTGGCAGGTTACCATTCCGCCTTGGCAGGTTACCATTCCGCCTTGGCAGGCTACCATTCCGCCTTGGCAGTTTACCATTCCGCCTTGGCAGCTTACCATTCCGCCTTTGCAGGTTACCATTCCGCCTTGGCTGGCGCAGGGTGCAGTGGCAGGCGGTGGCCCAGCAGTCGCCTCACCGCCCTGGCCTCGTGCGTTGACCCGTCGGACAGGCGCAGGCAGCGCGAGCGAATGTCACCGATGGCAGGGCCCCCTGGGGGAAGGGGAAAGGACGCGCGCAGGAGAAATGGGTCCCAGAGGGAGTTGAGTGAGGAAGTAGGGTGCGGGGCGGAGCACGAGAGACTGCGGGTGGCAATGTGTTGCAGCAACAGCACAAGCACCTCGCACTCAGGAGGTGAGGCGCAGAGTAGAAGGGTGTGGCTGACCTATGACGCTTGTGGCTGGCCTATGACGCGTGTGGCTGACCTATGTCACGTGTGGTGTGGCTGACCTATGAAGCATGTGGCTGACCTATGACTCGCACAATCTCTGCGGTGCTGCCGCCGTCATCGGAGACGGGCAGCACGTGCGCCACGGCTGTGGTCCACTCGTGCAGCTCCTCCGCCACCGCGTTGAACGCCGTGCCGCCTGCCCTCCGGCAGAAGAAAGGGGCGAGGGGGGGAGAGGGACGCAATGAGAAGCACAGGTGGAGCAGGTGGAGAGGCAGCATGCACTGTGTGGGCGGACAGTGGCTCATGGTGGAAGTGGTTGGCAGGCGAGGCAGCACGGGGAGCAGGAGGTACCTGAGAAGACAAGCAGTGAGGGTTCCTTGTGTTGCTGGCCTTCCAACGGGGGCCATGCTTCCGCCAAGGGGCTCCTGTGGCTGCCCGCACTGGAGGGCGTCTCTGCGCAGGGGCCTGCTGCCCACGCTGCTGGGCGGGCTGATCCTGGCGTCACGGCGCCCAGCAGGCTCAACTCCAGAGAGGCGGATGTGGGCAGTGCGTCTGTGTGAGAGTGCGCCTCTGCTGCGCTCCGCATGTGGGCCAGAGGGCTGTCTGCTCCCCCTGATGCCCCGTGTGTCTCCATCCGATCTCTCTCCTGCACCTTCGCCTCTGACCCTGCTACCTCCGCTCCCTCCTCCACGGCTCTGCCTTGCGCCACCTGCCCCTCGCCCACGCCCCTGGACGCCATGGGCAGCCACATGGCAGGTATTCTCTCAGCCGCCGCTGCTTGCTTCGCCTCGTGCCCCCGTGCGCACTTGCCAGGAGCGTCACCCCTCACGCCCCCCTGCATGCTCTGCTCCATGCCCTCACACATCTCCTCCTCCATCGCCTCTTGCCGCAACACAAACTCAACGCTCCCCTCACGCACTCTTCCCTCCCCCAACTCGCACTCGCACCCATCCCCGCTCCCCCCGCTGTCCGCTACCTCTGCTCCCGCTGCTACGCCAGCCCCCACCGCCAGTGCAGAGAGCTGACCTGCAATGAAAGCAGCACCAGGGTTGCTGCGCCAGCTGGCACAGCACAGGGGCCCATGGCGGGAGTGCGCATACGGGTCGAACTGGTCTTCGTCATCGGTCCTGTGGCGGGCGGCCATGGCCCCTCCAGCACCCTGTGCTGCCTGAGTGAAGAGCCGCGCCTGCGGCGTGATGGCGGGGCGGCGCAGGCGGAGCGGAGGGAGTCCCCGGTGAAGACTTTTGAGTCCCCGGGGATGCGGGCAGCCGCCGTGGGCACGCCGCGGATGGGCGATGCCCTTACACGCGCAGCCTCTGCCACCGGCTGCTGTACGCGCGGTGAGCGATTCAAAATTCTGGATGGAAAGGCAAGAGCTTGAGAGCGACAATGTAGGGAGGCGAGCAGGTCTGGTCGGGCGGAAGTTGAGGAAGTGGCAGGCGGCAGTGCGGTGGGAGCAAGAGGAACCAGACATGGGGAAAATGTGAAACCGCTGGATTTGCGGCTTTGGGGGAACTAGCCAATTCACGGACTCGGGAACAGCCTCGAATATGGCCACCAAAGGGGCGTATCGAGTGGTGAGCATCGACGTGGGTAGATTTGTGGATGCGGCTGGAACCGGCAGGTTTGGGCTGCTTCAGGGGATCTCGGTTTCCTGGGGGAAGGGGAAGGTACGGCGCAGTCGGGTTAGGGGGGGGATGGTGAGAGCTGGCGGTGTGCGGTAGCGAAAGCTAAATCTATGCAATGGGTGCACTGCAGGCTGGTTGTGAGAGCAAGTGGGGTTATCTGCCAGGGAAACTCAACAAGGGTCATGTAGCAGCACAGCAGGGAGGGAGGGGGGGTTAAAGAGGAGCAGGGAGGAAATGCAGAGTGGAGCAGACAGAGAGGGGGACTCAACGGGATGCAGAGGGCGGCAGCGATGGGATGCAGAGGGCAGCAGAGATGGGATGCAGAGGGCAGCAGAGATGGGATGCAGAGGGCAGCAGCGATGGGATGCAGAGGGCAGCAGAGATGGGATGCAGAGGGCAGCAGCGATGGGATGCAGAGGGCAGCAGCGATGGGATGCAGAGGGCAGCAGAGATGGGATGCAGAGGGCAGCAGCGATGGCATGCAGAGGGCAGCAGAGATGGGATGCAGAGGGCAGCAGAGATGGGATGCAGAGGGCAGCAGAGATGGGATGCAGAGGGCAGCAGCGATGGGATGCAGAGGGCAGCAGAGATGGGATGCAGAGGGCAGCAGAGATGGGATGCAGAGGGCAGCAGCGATGGGATGCAGAGGGCAGCAGAGATGGGATGCAGAGGGCAGCAGCGATGGGATGCAGAGAGCAGCAGCGATGGGATGCAGAGGGCAGCAGCGATGGGATGCAGAGGGCAGCAGAGATGGGATGCAGAGGGCAGCAGCGATGGGATGCAGAGGGCAGCAGCGATGGGATGCAGAGGGCAGCAGCGATGGGATGCAGAGGGCAGCAGAGATGGGATGCAGAGGGCAGCAGAGATGGGATGCAGAGGGCAGCAGAGATGGGATGCAGAGGGCAGCAGAGATGGGATGCAGCGGGCAGCAGAGATGGGATGCAGAGGGCAGCAGAGATGGGATGCAGAGGGCAGCAGAGATGGGATGCAGAGGGCAGCACCGATGGGATGCAGAGGGCAGCAGCGATGGGATGCAGAGGGCAGCAGAGATGGGATGCAGAGGGCAGCAGAGATGGGATGCAGAGGGCAGCAGCGATGGGATGCAGAGGGCAGCAGAGATGGGATGCAGAGGGCAGCAGCGATGGGATGCAGAGGGCAGCAGAGATGGGATGCAGAGGGCAGCAGAGATGGGATGCAGAGGGCAGCAGCGTTGGGATGCAGAGGGCAGCAGAGATGGGATGCAGAGGGCAGCACCGATGGGATGCAGAGGGCAGCAGCGATGGGATGCAGAGGGCAGCAGAGATGGGATGCAGAGGGCAGTAGAGATGGGATGCAGAGGGCAGCAGAGATGGGATGCAGAGGGCAGCAGAGATGGGATGCAGAGGGCAGCAGCGATGGGATGCAGAGGGCAGCAGAGATGGGATGCAGAGGGCAGCAGAGATGGGATGCAGAGGGCAGCAGCGTTGGGATGCAGAGGGCAGCAGAGATGGGATGCAGAGGGCAGCAGCGATGGGATACAGAGGGCAGCAGAGATGGGATGCAGAGGGCAGCAGAGATGGGATGCAGAGGGCAGCAGCGATGGGATGCAGAGAGCAGCAGAGATGGGATGCAGAGGGCAGCAGCGATGGGATGCAGAGGGCAGCAGAGATGGGATGCAGAGGGCAGCAGAGATGGGATGCAGAGGGCAGCAGCGATGGAATGCAGAGGGCAGCAGAGATGGGATGCAGAGGGCAGCAGCGATGGGATGCAGAGGGCAGCAGAGATGGGATGCAGAGGGCAGCAGAGATGGGATGCAGAGGGCAGCAGAGATGGGATGCAGAGGGCAGCAGCGATGGGATGCAGAGGGCAGCAGAGATGGGATGCAGAGGGCAGCAGAGATGGGATGCAGAGGGCAGCAGCGATGGGATGCAGACAGGAGGCAGCAGCGATGGGATGCAGAGGGCAGCAGAGATGGGATGCAGAGGGCAGCAGAGATGGGATGCAGAGGGCAGCAGAGATGGGATGCAGAGGGCAGCAGAGAAGGGATGCAGAGGGCAGCAGAGATGGGATGCAGAGGGCAGCAGAGATGGGATGCAGAGGGCAGCAGAGATGGGATGCAGAGGGCAGCAGAGATGGGACGCAGGAGGGCAGCAGAGATGGGATGCAGAGGGCAGCAGAGATGGGATGCAGAGGGCAGCAGAGATGGGATGCAGAGGGCAGCAGAGATGGGATGCAGAGGGCAGCAGCGATGGGATGCAGAGGGCAGCAGCGATGGGATGCAGAGGGCAGCAGAGATGGGATGCAGAGGGCAGCAGAGATGGGATGCAGAGGGCAGCAGAGATGGGATGCAGAGGGCAGCAGAGATGGGATGCAGAGGGCAGCAGAGATGGGATGCAGAGGGCAGCAGAGATGGGATGCAGAGGGCAGCAGAGATGGGATGCAGAGGGCAGCAGAGATGGGATGCAGAGGGCAGCAGAGATGGGATGCAGAGGGCAGCAGAGATGGGATGCAGAGGGCAGCAGAGATGGGATGCAGAGGGCAGCAGAGATGGGATGCAGAGGGCAGCAGAGATGGGATGCAGAGGGCAGCAGAGATGGGATGCAGAGGGCAGCAGAGATGGGATGCAGAGGGCAGCAGAGATGGGATGCAGAGGGCAGCAGACATGGGATGCAGAGGGCAGCAGCGATGGGATGCAGAGGGCAGCAGCGATGGGATGCAGAGGCCAGCAGAGATGGGATGCAGAGGGCAGCAGCGATGGGATGCAGAGAGCAGCAGAGATGGGATGCAGAGGGCAGCAGCGATGGGATACAGAGGGCAGCAGAGATGGGATGCAGAGGGCAGCAGAGATGGGATGCAGAGGGCAGCAGCGATGGGATGCAGAGGGCAGCAGAGATGGGATGCAGAGGGCAGCAGCGATGGGATGCAGAGGGCAGCAGAGATGGGATGCAGAGGGCAGCAGAGATGGGATGCAGAGGGCAGCAGAGATGGGATGCAGAGGGCAGCCAGAGATGGGATGCAGAGGGCAGCAGAGATGGGATGCAGAGGACAGCAGAGATGGGATGCAGAGGGCAGCAGAGATGGGATGCAGAGGGCAGCAGAGATGGGATGCAGAGGGCAGCAGCGATGGGATGCAGAGAGCAGCAGAGATGGGATGCAGAGGGCAGCAGAGATGGGATGCAGAGGGCAGCAGAGATGGGATGCAGAGGGCAGCAGAGATGGGATGCAGAGGGCAGCAGCGATGGGATGCAGAGGGCAGCAGAGATGGGATGCAGAGGGCAGCAGCGATGGGATGCAGAGGGCAGCAGAGATGGGATGCAGAGGGCAGCAGAGATGGGACGCAGAGGGCAGCAGCGATGGGATGCAGAGGGCAGCAGAGAAGGGATGCCGAGGGCAGCAGCGGTGGGATGCAGAGGGCAGCAGAGATGGGATGCAGAGGGCAGCAGAGATGGAATGCAGAGGGCAGCAGAGATGGGATGCAGAGGGCAGCAGAGATGGGATGCAGAGGGCAGCAGCGATGGGATGCAGAGGGCAGCAGCGATGGGATGCAGAGGGCAGCAGAGATGGGATGCAGAGGGCAGCAGCGATGGGATGCAGAGGGCAGCAGAGATGGGATGCAGAGGGCAGCAGCGATGGGATACAGAGGGCAGCAGCGATGGGATGCAGAGGGCAGCAGAGATGGGATGCAGAGGGCAGCAGAGATGGGATGCCGAGGGCAGCAGAGATGGGATGCAGAGGGCAGCAGAGATGGGATGCAGAGGGCAGCAGAGATGAGATGCAGAGGGCAGCAGAGATGGGATGCAGAGGGCAGCAGAGATGGATGCAGAGGGCAGCAGAGATGGGATGCAGAGGGCAGCAGAGATGGGATGCAGAGGGCAGCAGAGATGGGATGCAGAGGGCAGCAGAGATGGGATGCAGAGGGCAGCAGAGATGGGATGAGAGGGCAGAGGTGCAGGGCAGCAGAGATGGGATGCAGAGGGCAGCAGAGATGGGATGCAGAGGGCAGCAGAGATGGGATGCAGAGGGCAGCAGAGATGGGATGCAGAGGGCAGCAGAGATGGGATGCAGAGGGCAGCAGAGATGGGATGCAGAGGGCAGCAGACATGGGATGCAGAGGGCAGCAGCGATGGGATGCAGAGGGCAGCAGCGATGGGATGCAGAGGCCAGCAGAGATGGGATGCAGAGGGCAGCAGCGATGGGATGCAGAGGGCAGCAGCGATGGGATGCAGAGGGCAGCAGAGATGGGATGCAGAGGGCAGCAGAGATGGGATGCAGAGGGCAGTTGAGATGGGATGCAGAGGGCAGCAGAGATGGGATGCAGAGGGCAGCAGAGATGGGATGCAGAGGGCAGCAGAGATGGGATGCAGAGGGCAGCAGAGGATGGGATGCAGAGGGCAGCAGAGATGGGATGCAGAGGGCAGCAGAGATGGGATGCAGAGGGCAGCAGAGATGGGATGCAGAGGGCAGCAGAGATGGGATGCAGAGGGCAGCAGAGATGGGAGGCATGCAGAGTGGCAGGCAGAGATGGGATGCAGAGGGCAGCAGAGATGGGATGCAGAGGCAGCAGAGATGGATGCAGAGGGCAGCAGAGATGGGATGCAGAGGCGCAGGCAGACAAGATGGGATGCAGAGGGCAGCAGGATGGGATGCAGAGGGCAGCAGAGATGGGATGCAGAGGGCAGCAGCGATGGGATGCAGAGAGCAGCAGAGATGGGATGCAGAGGGGCAGCAGCGATGGGATACAGAGGGCAGCAGAGATGGGATGCAGAGGGCAGGCAGAGATGGGATGCGAGGGCAGAGCGATGGGATGCAGAGGGCAGCAGAGATGGGATGCAGAGGGCAGCGACGATGGGATGCAGAGGGCAGCAGAGATGGGATGCAGAGGGCAGCAGAGATGGGATGCAGAGGGCAGCAGAGATGGGATGCAGAGGGCAGCAGAGATGGGATGCAGAGGGCAGCAGAGATGGGATGCAGAGGGACAGAGCAGAGATGGGATGCAGAGGGCAGCAGCGATGGGATGCAGAGGCAGCAGAGATGGGATGCAGAGGGC